TCTTTTTAGCTTATTCTCTTCCTCTTCTTTCCTCTCTGTACTACAACACCTCATTTTTTATAAATTGTTATTTCGCATAAACTTGTGTCGTTCCTCTTTCCATCACCTAACTTCTTCTTACATTACCTCAGAATAATTTACTCTTGATATACCTTGCAAGTCTTTCTCATGTGAAGCTTCTATGAGCAGCTCTGATTATGATAATATTGTTTCATTGGTTATGTGACAAATGTTTGTATATCAATAGAAATTATTGCTAAAAAAACCAATCTCATTTCATTGGTGACGGGCTTATCTAGAGCTTTACAAGTTATAACATTTACAAATAAATTCGTATACTTCATCCATTTACAAATAAGATCCTACATTTGATATAAATTTCAACACTCTCTCTCAAGATAAGCAAAAGATATTCACTAAGCCCATCTTGTCACATAACCTAGACAAATCTAATGAGCTGAGTTATTTGGTGATGCAGTCAACAACTTGCTCTCCAGTGGCTACATGAGATTAGCTCCGTTAACCGTTATTCAACTTTTCCTTGATGAAGAACCTACAATCTCCATATGTTTGGTTCTATCATGTTGCACCGGGTTGTTAGCAATGTTGATTGCCGACTTGTTGCCACACCACAACTTCATTTGAGTTCCTTGATCCACTTTGAGTTCAATCGATAAGGCTTTCAACAACATCATCTCAGCAACTCCTAATGCCATGAACCTGTGCTCTACCTTTGCTGTTGATCTTGCTACAACTGGCTGTTTTTTGCTCTTCAACGAGACCAAGTTGCCACCTATCCTGATGTGGATCGTCTGTCATCAACACAAGTTGCTCAGTCAAAATCTCAAAAGTCCTCAAAATCTACATGCCCATTCTTCCTGGATATCAACCATTTCCCTGATGCATTCTTCAGATACCTCAAAATCTGATACAGTGCATTCATATGACTCTTCCTTGGATCGTGCATGTAGTGGTTCACCACACTTACATCAAAAAAAATATTAGGTCGAGTGTGGAACAAATAAATCAGGCAGCCCACCAACTTCTAGTACCTCTCACAATCAACCGATTCACCTGCCTCTGTACCGAGTTTGACATTCCGATCAATTGGAGAAGTTACAGGTTTGCGTCTCTCATACCTGACTCTGTGAAAAAATCCAATACATACTTTCTTTGGGATAAGACCATCCCCTTAGATCCATGGGCCACTTCAATCCTAAGAAAATATCTGAGCTGCCCCGGATCATTTACCTCAAATTGCTTCCTCAATCTTCCCTTCAGTCGAGCAATCTCTGTTTCATCATCACCAATGATAATTATGTCATCCACTTACACAACAAATCTGGTAGTGTGACTTTCATGTTGCCGAAAAAATATCTTGTGGTCTACATTGATCTGCTGATTTCTTATGCCAACCATCACTATTTTATACTTGTCAAACCAAGCTCGAGAAGACTGTTTCAACCCATACAGTGACTTCTTGAGCCCACACATCTTAACCACTGTCTGGGATTTACTGAATCATTGCGGTATCTTTATATATATCTCATTCAGTAGCTCTTCTTAAAGAAATTTATTCTTCACATCCGGATGGTGGAGTATTTTTGGAGAAGCCAGTGTCCTCATTGTGCTCATCTTTGCGACTAGTGCAAAGGTTTCATTGTAGTAAATGTCAAATGTATGAATGTACCCTTTTGCCACTAGTCGTGCTTTGTACCTCTCCACCTTCTTTTGTAGAGTTTTCTTTATCGCAAAGATCCACTTGCATCCAACCGTCTTCTTCCTTACTGATAGTGGTACAATCTCCTATGTTCGGTTTTTATGAAGAGCTCCAAGTTCTTCATGCATCATCGTTTTCCACTTGGGATTCTCTTTAGGAACCTGCTTCACTTGGGTATAGAGATAAATTCCAATGATGCAATGAATGCTTCATGCAAATGTGAGATGTTAGAATAAAAAATAAAGTTTGTAATGACAAGTTCTCGCCCAGAATGATCAGGAGGATATCCCACATTGCTGTGGGAGGTCTTCCTTAACGTCGTGGGTTAGGAGTGGATGAAGGAGAAATAATAATACCTAGGAGTTTTGAATCAAAGGTGGATGGTGTAGGTGCCTCAAGAGTCATGGAAGACCGGGACAAGAGACTTGTTGGCATTACAGACTCTATTCCTTCAGTTTGCTTCTTCTTCTGTGTATACACCCTTGACTCACCTTCAGTAAGAATGCCACCACCTATGGGGTCACTTTCCTCGATTTTCGTCTCAGTTGATTCATCCCGCATCACAGGACATGACATTGCTCCTAATTGCACCATCATCACTACTACTTACTCTCTTTTACCTCATATCTCTAGTTTCTGCTGTGTCATCGAAGGGTGAATTCAACTTCAGAGTGTATCTTTAGTTCGAACTCTCTGAATGACATATCCATACTCACAAAGAATATTCTCAATCGGGCTCTAGTAGACATATCCTTTTTGAGTAGCAGAATAACCCATGAAAACATATTTCACAGCTCTTGGATCCAACTTCCCTACAGATGTCCTATTATCTTTCACAAAACATATACATCCAAATACCTTCAATGGAAGAATCCTACTATTGTCTCCTTTCAACATCTGACAAGGAGACTTCTACTCCAGTACTCTTGAGGGCATCCTGTTAATCAATTGAGCGGTTTTCAACACTGTTTACCCCTATAAGTGTTGTGGGACATTTATTGCCACCATCATGCTCTGGCTACCTCTAGAAGATGTCGATTCTTCCTCGTTGCTAATCTATTATGTGCTGGTGTGTATAGACATGTGATTTGGTGTTGTATCCATAGAGTCGAAAGATTGTCCCCAAATGCTTTGTTGATATATTTTGTCTCATTATCAAATCCTAGTGCCTTCACAACTGCATAATATTGGGTTTGAATTGCCTTGTTAAAGCAAGCAACCGCCGCACTCTTCTGTTTCATCAAATATTTTCAGGTAGCACGAGAAAAACAATCAATAGATGTAATAAAATACTGATAACCATTCATATTACTAGTAGATAAGCTCCCTATACATCAAAATGTATCAAATCTAACACACCAGCGCTCTTATTCCTAGAACTGACATAAGAGCTTCTACTGAGCTTGCCAAACTTACAAACATCACGCACCAATTTCTTCTTATTTGCTTTTTCATACATAGATAAATATAATTGATTCAAAAAACTAAGACTAGAATGTCTTATACGTCTGTCATGTAACAGTAACACCCCAAATTTCCTCTCTGGTTCTTCTGCTGCAGCACTTTCCACCATAGATGCCAGAGCCGAGTCCAACCCCGCTAGGTCCAAATACTAGAATTTGCTATGCCACGTTCCAGTCCAAATTGTTCGTCCCCTTTTTCCTGGAAGATCACCTGAAAGAAACAATACATTTTAACTGAAGAATAATGACACTAACGGATAAGAGATTTACTAGAAAAGAAGGAATATGCAAATTATTGAACAAAGTCATATGATTAGTACATCTCATTGTACCCTTACCAACTACAGACAGCGTTGTACCATCAGTAGTTTGTATACTATCTAGTACTGTCAGATGAATATATGAAGAGAACTCTTCAACAGTACCTGTCAAGTGATGAGAAACACCATAATCTATGATCCATTCTGATGATTCTATGGTAGAAATAGAGGCGAGAACAAGTGTGTCGCCAATACATTTGCCGAAGCAAGCATTAGTGGCAATGTTACCCCCTGATGTCGATAGATTTAAAACATTCCCAGTTCCATCTCCTGCTATTTTCTGCTTCCTCTTCAATAACTCCATACACTTATGATCTTCACTAGTAAAGATTATATTTTTCCCTTCCTCGTCCTCTGCTATCATTAAATTTGCCCAGTAGCCCCCGCTTTCACCTTTTCGATCCCCATGACCACCATAACCACCACGACCACTACGACCACTACCTCCACCTTGTCCACGTCCGTCTGCCACTCTCTACTAAGGTGGCTTAGGACAGGCTCTGCTCAGATGACCAACTTCACCATAATTGTAGTACTTGCGAGTCCCCCTTGGACACCTAGCGTACCTGGGCTCACAATAATCACTGTTGATCGAGCACCCAAAAAACCACTCTGCTCAGAGTTTAGCTTCATGCAACTCTTCTTCTGTATCATCGCAGCTATGGTATCATCTAGTGTAGGAAAAGTCACCTGAGCTAGGAGAACCAATCTTCTCTGATCAAAAGCCAGGTTTAGATGAGCCAGAAACTGCACAGTTCTCATCCGTGTAAAGATCTCTCTCTTCTTGCACCCCAGATTACAACTTGATATAGGTGAGAAGTGATTAAGATCTTGCTACAATCGCTCTAAGTCTATAGAGTAATCCTGAATCTATTTATAACCCTGAACCACTGCCTCTATCTCACACTGAATCTGAAACACCCTCATGTGGTTTTCAGCTCCAGTATAGATCTTCTTCAGCTTTGCCCAAATGTCACTCCCCTTTCAAATGCCATTCACTAATGAGGCAATCGATGAAACCATTGAGTTGAGTAGCAAGATGTAAAATAAAACATGTGTGATTCTTTACTCATCATGCTTAACACTATCACTTTTTGGCTAAACCCTTGTCAGGTATCATTCTAGTCTCTTCCCTACTAAAGCAGCCTCGATCTGATGCGACCAAGTCAGCCATCGAGCTTTAGATCCACAGGAAAGATCTAGTTTCACTTGCTTCGGAGCATGTGCTGAGGTAGTGGCTTCCGTTGAGACGCTAGCTCTCTGTATGAGCCCAACCAATAACTTCAGAGCTTCAAGATCATCTTTCTCAAAAGTTCTAATCCTTTACGCAGTTTCCGTCGCCTGACATACTCAATCATAAGGATAAATCCAGAGCACGTAGAACACATGCGATCTCTTTTTTGCATATTCGTGCGATCCGCTTTGCCTAACCCGCACAAAGCCGCAACCCCTTTGTCCTGCATGTAAAACTGCAGCTGCTTCGATCCTTCCTCTCCCATGCCGTCGAGTGAAACTCCAGAAATGAAGTCATGCTTCATTGCCTTCCTAACTCCCGAGTTACAATTTCATCGTTTCGTACGCGGCAGACCAGTTGTTGCCTTCTCATTTAGCTCTAATTGCATTATATCCTTCGGGTCAGGTCACGTCACCATCCCTATAGGCGGGAGAAGCTTCTCTGTCGTGTGAAATAGGAAGAAGGGGCCAGCCGTGATCCATCGTTTCACGCGAGAGCCGCTACTCTGTTGGGCAATAGCCGCAGTCCTTGTAGGCGATCCTTCCCTCCACTCGATCCCATCTCGACAAACCACGCGATCCAGTCCTAGGCCAACCATGCGATCCCAACTCCTCACGAACCTTCACGCGCGATCTTGTCTAGGTAACTTCGCCGCTCCCTATCGAGCATAGGGACGGCTGTTAGGGTTATGGTTGAGGCTTTGAAACCAAATAGAATTTATTGCTAAAAAAAACCACGTACATTTCATTGATGACGGGCATATATAGAGCCTTACAAGTTACAACATTTACAAATAAATCCTTAGACTTCATCCATTTACAAATAGGACCCTACATTAGATACAAATCTCAACAGTATCTTTTATTCATTCAATTCTCATAAATAGATTTTGTATCCGGTTTTAAGAGTTTAAACTATTGGAGGTGATGCTTGGTTTAGTTAATTGAAATGACTGGTCTATCTGATAAATTTGAATTTAAACATAAATAAATCCGAATTTAGATAAATTTGTTCTTTCATTAGCTTTAACAATGCTCATTTGATTGTCTATAGAATTATTTCAAAATGATTTTTTTTTTGAAAATTTATTTTACTCCCAACTTTGCTGCAATTGGTATGTTTAGGTGTTTGCTCTAAGAGATGCTGGGAGTTTGGCTGAGAATGCAACAGCTTATGTAAGCCTTGAACCATGCAACCATTATGGAAGGACTCCTCCCTGCACAGAAGCATTAATTAAAGCAAAAGTGAAGCAGGTGGTTGTTGGCATGGTGGACCCTAACCCAGTTGTTGCGTCAAAAGGACTGGAAAGGCTGAAAGCATCAGGAATTGATGTTGTAGTTGGTGTGGAAGAGAAGCTGTGCCAGAAACTAAATGAAGCATATATACATCGAATGCGTACAGGAATTGTCACTTTAAGGTCAACTATCAGTTGCTTAATTTCATGTGTGATAGAATTTTATAAATGGATTTTATTATTATTATTATTATTTAGATGATGGATAAATTTAGGCCTAGTTTCAACATGTATATACCAGGCATTGCAAGGGAAGAGCTTGTTTCTAAGTATCTACACATATTATTATTTGTCATATAAACATGCTATTAGATTCAAATGCATTAAGAAAGTTTAGTGGGAAAGAAGTTAAATTATCCTACTGCATTCAATTTTTTTTCCCTAATTTTTACATTGTACTTTACACCAAATATATCTTGGGTCCGTTGTCCAAAGTGATGGTGATATAGATGGGGATGTTAATAGTAGAATTCAAGTTGGTTGGTTGAAGTGGAGGAATGCTTCGGGCCTTTTATGTGATAGAAAAGTACCGCTAAGACTGAAAGGAAAATTTTATAAGATGGTGGTGAGACCTGCAATGCTCTATGGCGCTGAATGTTGGCCTTTAAAAGAGAAGCATAATAATAAGTTAAGTGTTGCCGAGATGAGAATGATTAGGTGGATGAGTGGCTTTACACTTAGAGACAAAATGCGGAATGAATATATTCATGATAGGGTTGGTGTAGCTTCTGTAACAGACAAAATTAGAGAAAGTCGTCTTAGATGGTTTGGTCATATTAAACGTCGACTATTAGATGATCCGATTAGGAGAGTAGATGTTTTAAATCGAATTGTTAAGAAAGGGAGAGGTAGACCTAGGAAGACTTGGGCTTATTGTATTAAAAATGATCTTAATTTACTAGAACTAAATGAAAATATGACACTAAATAGGACGCAATGGAGAAAAAGGATTCATGTAGCCGACCCCACGTAGTGGGATTAAGGCTTTGTTGTTGTTGTTGTTGTTGTACTTTACACCAAATACATCTCTTAATTTGAGTTAATTTAATGACTCTGGAAAAAATCTTGAACTTTGGCTTCATTTGTATAGCATAAGGGTGAAAATGGTACAATAAAAATAACAAATGGAGAACAAACTAGAATTCATTGGTTTTATCTGTAGGAAATTAAGAGATATTTTTAAGTATAGTGGATATATTATAAAAAAAAAAGAGGGATATATGTCATCATTATCATTATTCTTATTTTATCTTTTTGGGTTTGGTTTATGAATCCTCCTTTTTAATTTTCATCATGTTGAGCTCTGCCAAGTGTAAAAAACCTACCCTTCAAAAATCATTTGAAACTCTATTCATGTTACCTTAGGTCTTTACCTTCATAGTACTTCTACACTAGTATCTTTTAATTTAATGGGCGTACTTATATCCTTGATGTCGTCTTCCAAAATACTTATCTACTTGTTATTATCTTATATTTAATATATATATAATTCTAGTAGTTCCTCTAATGTAATTATTTTAAACTTTTTTTTTCACTCTCGCCGAACATCCATTTTTATACTCTCGTTTCCGCATTGGTCAACTTAGATGGGTATAGTTTTTTTTTTTTAATTATTGTACAACATTCGAATTTATTCAATATTTTTGGCCTAATTATAGTTTTATGAAATTTATATTTATTTTTTTATGATGCCCTTTTACAGCTTAATATTTCTGAGGCCTTTCTCTTTTTTTATTGCCTACTTTAAACTCCATAAGCTGGATTATTATTTATATTTTTCATTTTATTTATAATTGATCCAAACTACTTAAACAAATCATGTATATATTTTTTATGAAGTTTTGTATCTCTTCATTGCACCACTAAATTTTTTATTAGTCTAGGATCTATTTTTAAACTCTGTTTTAGCATCTTCCACAATCTTCTTATTAAAACTTATTGCCATATCCCACATCAAGTTTTTCTCCAGCAAAGAATTTCAGTTGTCTCTTTTTGCGAAGCCTGTGCATTAGTTGTTCTAAACTAGACAAGGGAATCAAATTGAACATATGAGATTGATTTGCTTTAGTTCATGAAATCATAGTTTAATTTCATTAAAAGTATTTGTATTATGAATATTAATTTGATTTAAAAAATATGCTAAATTTTAAAAATATAATTACATTGTTTAACTTAAATTCATCAACCAATGAGTCTAACTGAATGCATATCCCTTTACTGAGATTTTAAAATTCTCTTAAAACCAAAATTGAATCAATTAAACTGCATTATAATGTTATTTCTTTTGATTTGGTTTGGTCACCATATTATTTGGTTCCGTTCTGCATATTATTCTGTCGGTCTGGTATTATCTGTTGGTTGATTTAGTTTAATTGGCCGAATCAATATATCTATCAATTAAATTAAATCTATGAAATACGCACCCCGACTTTTAGCGGCCTATTGATTTATGAACTAGATTATGAAAATGATGGTAAATTAGGTTGTGTACATCAATGAAGTTGATAAAATGATGTTACCCTCATAATTTGGGAATTAGATCATGAATATCTTAATATATAAGAGATCGTGTTAGCTGGATTTTAATTTTTGACGAAAATTATTAATGGCAGTGAATCTTAAGATCATACGATTGAGACAGAAAGGATGTAATAGGAAGTTTGTTGGCGCCATTGAATTGCCAATTGCAGCCTTGCAGGTCACATGAGGGAGATCAAAGCTATATATGATGTATTGTTGATCAAATTTTAAATTATAGCAGAATACTAATGAATTTGAACTTTTTCTGTTGTGCTCGAGTAAATTTATATTTATATCTATACTTCACAAATTCATATTGTAATTATCTTGTAAATGAACTTATCTTGATTGTTTTATTAAATGGCGGTTTTCTTTTTTGGTGTTAAAATAGTAAAAATAATTCTAGAGACATTGGTTGAATGAATAATATTAGAATACTATATAGCAATTGAAGTTGATTAAAATTGCTCCTATCCTCACCTTAATTACTTCAAAGTTATTATTTTTATACCTTGGAGTTGGTGATGTTAACTCAATATTGGTTAGGGAAGAAGCTAGAAAACACTTATCTTAATATTTTATAGTAAGATTGTTAGAGGAGCCATATTGAGTTATTTTGATTTTGGATAAATTGACATAGGCATTAATAGTTATAGCTCGACAACTTCAACCTTGGTTTCACAGACATTTTATTTGAGTCGTCATTGACATATGCTGAAAATAGTGTCGGTGAAGCTTGATCATTCATGGAGACTTCTTAAGTGGGAAGCCGAGCTAAGTCAGTTCTAAATCTTCTACACATCAATAATTGCTATCACAACCTAGCATTAGCCAACTTTTTGGCCAATTTTATCTTAGCTAGCACAAAAAAAATGATGTGCTTGTATATTTGATAGAGCCTCTCAGGATTAAGTAGGAATCATAATGGTGCTAGAAAGTGCATTTCAATGCATTGAGAGCATATTAAAGTACAATAGAGCATCTGTACTTAATTCTCCTTCACCATGTATCTCTCATTCCACCAGCCAATTGACTTTACTCGTCCATACCACTCTCTCGTACCAATCAATCTCTTTTGTCAGCTTGCGCTTCCTTTATTTCCCTGTTTCTTTCAGATAATCTATAATCCCAGCCATTATTCTCCAGCCATACCTTGCCTCCTATCTGCATAACCCCGCTTTTACAACTTAAGACATCCAAAGATGACCCTATGGTCACAAGATTCCAATCAGGAAATCTTAAGCCAAAATAGATCATCAATCTTACACATATCTTACCTCGAATTTGGATCCTACTTGCTACTTCATTGCCGTCAATGATGAGAAATGGCGTGCAGCCATGTAGCAAGAATTTCAAGCTCTCCAATCTCATAGAACATGTTTTCTTGTTCTATCATCTTCATATTAAGTTGTCCTGGGCTGCAGATTAAGATCAAATATTACTGTGATGGTACATTTTACCAACACAAAGCCAGGTCACTTAAGGGTACAAACAAGATCATCGGATAAATTATACTAATACATTCAACCCAATAGTTAAAATGCAAACCATTCCGATTGTACTTACTGCGTCACTATTTATAACTAGCTTGTCACTGAAATTGATCTGTATGATGCATTCTAAAATGATATGCTAAATGAGGCTTTCTTCATGCTAACCTTTAGGATTTTATAATTGCAATCATCCTGATAACATTAACCTACTAAAGAAAATCATGCGTGGCTTCAAACAAAGCTCCCCTATATTTATTTTCCTTTCTTAACCAAGGACTATAAACCTCTACTTCATTGTTAGCACCCTACACCCATCGCTGTTCCTTTACAACCATGATTATACTTCTATGCTCATCCTCATTCTTATGAAGGATAATATTTTTCACTGATACAAATCCACACTCTAATCACTGTTAAACTTACAACAAAAGTTTCACTCATGGAATCTTGTCTCCATCTCTCACTTTCTAAGCATTTAGGCTACTCCAATAGCATATTGCCAACAAATAGATTGAATTCAAAATGTTCGGGAGCTCCTTCAGCACTTACATTTGGCTTTATACTTCTATAAAAAAACCGTTCATGTTCTCTCCAGTAAGTAATATATCAATGGTTGGCTCTCTTTAATTCCTTAGCATCGAAGGCTCAACATCACATTTGCTACCAATCGCTTATGCCAGCTTATGCTACAACTTCAGGCATTCTTCGATTTAGATTGGGTAGGTTGTCCTCTTGAGCACAAATAGATATAGACTATTTTGCATTACTTGGAAATACAATGATCTCTTGGTGTAAAAAGAAATCTACTACTGCATGATTCTTCACTAAATCCAACTATCGAGCCCTCACTATTGCTATCACGGGCATAATATGGCCTCTTCATCTACTTCAAGAATTTGCTACTCCATTTGCATAATGCGCGCTACTCTATTGCGACACCTTTGCCATAGCTCTTCATAACAGGTCATTAATGTTTGTACAAAGCACAAAGAAAAAAGATCACCACTTCATTTGGGACTTGGATCAAATCAAGGGATGTCGTTGTATGCCATTTCACATAGATCCGCTCTTGGATGCCTTCTGTTGAGAAATTTTACGGAATGATAATTGACACAAATTCAGAAAAGACACAAATATTTAACGAGGTTCGGCAAAGATGCCTACATCTTTGGGAGCAGAGCGGCGACTTTCTTTCAATTTTAGAAAAGAGTACATAAAATGTTTCTAGGGTTACAAAACAAAACATATATATAACCCTAGAGTACAAAGTGTAATTACAAAACGTACCGCGGGGGCGTTGTCCCACACCCTCAACTCACATCACAAAACTCCCCTGATTGGACAGATGCTTCCGCTCCACTCCACTCAGCTGGCTCGCTCCGCTCCACTCGCTCGCTCTGCTCCGTTGGCTCGCTCCGCTTTGCTGGCTCGCTCTGCTCCGCTCCAGCAGCTGACCCTTATCTAGCATATGAGCCATACCTAACACCTTCACCAAAGCTCTTCCCAATGCCTAGTTTCATCCTTTCCATAACATGGCAATGCTTCCAATGGAATCGACACCTTGAGCGCAAATGATGGAACACCTGCATTTTATCGTACCCCTCTCCAACTGTCCTATGGTGCCATCCGCCTAAAAAGTCCTAATACAATCTCAGCCCTCTGTATAAAGCGACGTACTACATAACAAACTACATCTATAAATACAGCACTCAGGTTTTTTATTTGGTGTACCAAATATAAAACAATGCTGCAATAATTTCTACTTTCCTTTCCTTCTCTTCCCATCTGCTGACAATGTTTTGTAATGTTTTGTATTGAGTGAGGCTTTTATTGGCTGCACCTGCTTGATTTTGTTGATCATCTATTTAACAATTTGCTATTCGTTGCTCTATCTATTGAGTTTCATATTATGCTACATCTTGATTGCAGATATTCACTTTCACTAAATGGGAGGATGTTAAGTCATCTCGGGAAACGAGCAGAAGAACCAGGCGGATACTTTTCAAAAATGCTACAAGAATACGATGGCATCGTGATCTGCAGTGAATTCTTAACCAGAACCTCCACTCTTCCTATATCTCTTGAACCTGGAGCCAACCAGCCTTTCCATATAATTATAGCCTGGAACATATTTTCTCTGGATCTTCCAACCACCATCATCAACTCTGCATCTCATATCATAATCATGGCAGATAAAAGCATTAGTGTAGAACCAAAGTCTGAGAAAGTTGAAACTGTATTGCTCGAGCAGATGTCACTGACTTCGGTCTTAGATTATTGCGGACGCCGCGGGTTATGCAGTATCGTAGTAGATATCAGGGAGGATGGTGGATCTGTCACAGAACTTCTTGATGGCAGTTTTGAAGCAGGATTGGTGCAGAAAGTTGTGATGGAAGTCTGTCCTGTTTGGAGCGGGAGCAGTGATGCCTCACTTCCTTGCTTTGGTGTGGAGCTAAGGAAACTGAAGGATCTGCATTCTAATGTCACAAATGAGAGCACTATAGTGGAGGGATACCTTCTATAGGTATGGTAGAATCAATGTGCTTAAAAGTTTTGTTCCATGTTTGTTTGGCTTGGCCTGGCTTGGCTTACTACATTACCCTGTATCCTTATCCCAAAATTTTGAGTTCATTTCAATGATTAAACATTCTTCATTTGATGTTTTTTGTGTATTCTATCCATGTTATTTCTCTCTCTTTTATACATCTAATGATTCGATATTAATTTCACAGATCTTTTTCTCTATGAGAATTTCAAAAAGTGGTGTTGAGCAATGAATTTATTAATTTGTTTTGGACCATTGCAAGATAATAACTATAAGTAGTTGATGATCTGTAAAATATACAGTATTTGAAGATGATCAATCTCAACTTTGAGATCAATACAAAACTCATATAAGGCTATAAAAAAAAAAAAATCTGCGGTCAAGAGTTCTAATGCTTAGAGTTTGTCTATTTAAAAAGTTGGCAAACTCGCACGTGCGTGCGCCCCCACACACACACGCAAACACACACAAATATATATATAATTAAAAGGAATAGCTAGAGGCTATTATACGAGCCTCCATCCACTCCTAATATGCCTAACAATTCATGTACCAGCTCCTTAAGGCAATTGTGTTAGTGGGGAATCAAATTGATGTTTATCTAGATGAGTTTTCTAATGATGAATCCAAACTTGCGTGCTTTTAGTCGAATTGGGTAAAATCTGATGATTTTAAATTTAACTAATTATTAGATCATTAATGCAATAACCAAAAATAAAATAAATAAAATGAAATTTAATCCCCCTCAGAACAACTCTTTGAAATAGACATGATGTTCTCAAAAAATTAAAATAAAGGATTTATTCTTGAACCGAAGGATGAACCAATTGTGAGATAGAGAGCGAGCTAGTGAGAGGGAAAGCGTAAGAGAAAGCAAAGGAAGATGAAGGAGATGAGTGGCTTCGTCGATTGTGAACACGGAGTTGGGCTTGCGTGCTGTTAAGGTCTAAACCGAGGCAATAAGGTTAGGAATATATTTTATTTTATATAAGATATTTATTTTATTAATTAGATAAAATTAAGTTGAACTAAACTTTATTAAATAAAGATTATATTTTTTTTCTGATTGAAAGTTATTATATTAATTAATGTCGAAAGCCCAACGAGAAGGCTTTTCGTGCGGAGAAGAAAAATTCGATTCAATAGATGGATTCGGGTAAACCTCCAATTAAAAAATTAAATTTGAATTAATTAATTTTAAATAAATATTAATATTGATTGTTTACTTATTATTATACTTAAATTTGTAAAATCAGATGATTTATTTAACAACACTAGATAGATAGAAAATTCTAAATAGAATTGTGAGACATTATGAGAATTGATTGAAATAATTAAATAAATATTTATAGAAATTATTATACATGTGTATGCATATATAAAATAACAAAAGAAATATGTTAAAAGAATCAAATAGGTGATTTAATAAGCAAATAGTAAATAAGAAGAAAATATAAAAAAATATTGTCTATTTTTATAAGAGTTAACTAGAAATACTTCTATTATAAACAATGATAATTATTTATTTAAATTAACATGGATAATTTACTCATGATTTTAGGTGCTTTAATATTGAGGAGATTCAATAATTAAAAATAAATTAATCGAAATCAAAGTGAATTCTTATATTTTTCAATTAATAATATTTGATTTCTTCAAAATCTGATACATTCTGTTAATTGTTAGATACATTTATACTGTAAGTAAAAATCAAAATAATTCATCTCTTCTTTATGTTTATTTGATCACATTAAATTGTTTATTACTCATATATGTATATCCATCTTTTACATAATTCAACGCATTATATTATGTATCACGTGATATGAAAATAAAAAATAAGATTGACTATTTTGATTGCTTGCATGTGCATGTTCGGCTTTGATGAAGTTTATCCCATTATGGTACAAGCAAGCAAACACTAAGGTACTTGTGCATGTAAATAGAAATGAAGATTTAATATTGTACGATCATTGGTACAAGGTACAAGTTTTAGATGATACTTTTGTGACGGTTGTATACGTATTAAAAAGATATTGATCTATAAATAATATAGTAAGGCATGATTAATGTTTAGAATCATCTTGAATTATCATATTTGATAGTACACACTTTCAAATATTTAAAGTAACTGACATACATATTAGTTTCTTTTCATTGTGTTACTATAGTTTAGGAGTGTGAGTGTTCAGTCAATATGATTAACTCACTATTATTATAAATAGTTTAGAAGATAAACAATATAAGAGGAAATCTTTATAGTAGGTGCAGATAACCAAAGATAAAGTAAATTTAAGGGTATTAGTTTAATCTACTTTCTATAGTGGCTCTTTCATTTCAATTGGATTATAAATTGTTAGTTATAGAAAATTTAATTTCCACCGTTCAACCATATAATCCCTCATATTTAATTCCAAACCCCGGGCTGCCGAGTTGTAATTTAAGACACTTAAGTTTTCAATAAATGGTTTATGTTCAAAATAAATAGAGGCCATATGATGAGTTTTTAAAGACTTTGGCCAAAATGATTAAAAATTACTCTAAAACTAAAAATAAAATTTCATTTTTCACATGAAGGGAATTAGGGGTCAAAAGAAAAGAGCATAGCTACTTAAAGGATTCCAATTATTTGCGTGATATTTGATGCTAATGATTGCTGACCCATTGCCTAATTATCTTTTGCCCATGCATTGTAGCTCATTCGCCATTGCTTGACTACCATGTTTTATTCACTTTCCTAACTTTTGTCTCAACTATTATTGCCCAACTATAATTTCTTGACCACCATTGTGATACTAAAGTATCTTTGCCATTATAGTTCGACTATAGTCATTGAATCATTATCGTTATACAATGACTTCTTGACCACAATTTCCAAAATAAGGCTGCTTGTTCTTTTTGGCTAGATTTCCATTGGATAAAGATACATTTTGATCATCAATTTCTAAATACATTCTTTTAATGAACGCCTTTTTAATTATAATCTCCCGAGCACTATCGTCCGACTAAGCACCCTTGATCACTATCGATTGATTATGTTTACCTAAACAAGATCATTAGTCGATGATCTCCCAATGATTATCAAACAATTATGGTCACTTGAACATCATTACCTAACTATAGTCTCACATCCACCATCGCCTTACTATCATTTCCTAACCACTATCGCCTGACTGTGGTCTTCAAACTGATATTTCTCAACTGCGATCTAACCATTATCACCTAATTGAAGTATCTTGATTACCATACTCAACTATGATTTTTTAGCACTATTAGTCAACTAAAGTCTCCTAATTTCTATTACTTGATTATAGTCTCCTAAAGACTATTAGATTTTATAATCTTCTAACTAGCATCAGTCAATTATCATCCCTACACTACCTTCACCTAAATAATCTCTTACTAACTTTGTTTCCAATAATATCGATCTATGCTATCACTTATAGGACTAATGCATGTTGTTCACCTCATTTCTAATGAGGCTGGCAAATATTCCTTTCAAGCCTTGACCCTATGGACTTAAAATCAAATCATACTTCTTTACTCAAACATTTGATTCATAATAACTTAAATTGTTTATAGGTGATTGAGAATCATATTTGAGTAGAGTTTAAAACCTTAAACCCTAGGCTAACCTACCTTTATCTGGCCTAATAGACTATCATTGGACCCTTTTGAAGTTCACATAAAATTCATTAAATTAAATAAAAAACCTAGCTATGTGCCCTAAGAGATTCACTTTAGCTCATAAATCAAATATAAAGTCAATTAAAGCAAAATGACCACTTAGTGTAGTTAATTTAAACATGCCCCCATTAAGGAGATGTTAGATTCAAACTCACCCCAAGGACATTTAAATTTAATTCAGGTAGAATTAAATGCAAATAAACTCAATTCAAACTTGAGTTAAAGTCATCCAATGGGTTAACTTAACCCAACATAACATTTTAAGAGATTGTTGATATCAATGCTCACTCAATTCAAAATTTAATTCAAACCAAATTCACTCAAAACTTATTTTTATAGCCTCTTAAATTAAAACCAATTCATGTGAATGAAAATTGAGGCTAATTTAACACTAACTGAATAAGTGGATAATTGAATCAATTTAACCTCCTTAAGCCCAGGGCACTTAAATCCTAATCAATTACATTCAAATCCAATCAATTGTTTTCTCAAGAACTTCTACTATCTTACCATAAGAAATTCACCTCTAGTTCAACCATGGTTCTAACTTTGAATTAAAGTTAAACTTTAAAATCAACTTTTTCAAGCTAAAGCTATGAGAATGTAAGTGAATATTATAGTCCAATTGTAATCAAACCATTCCAATGATGCCATAAGGCATACGATAACTCACTAAAATTTTCTTGAACTCAATTAAAACTAGTTCAATCTAAATCAATTCAAGCCAAGAAAACCAATGATAAAACATGATTAGTTGTTAGATTCAGTCAACCAAATGAAAACTAATTCCATATAAAAACACACCAAACTTTCATTTAACACACATAGACTAATACCAAAACCCCACTGTTCGGCTTTGATGAAGTT